TATGTATGTAGTATATATATATGTATATATATATATATATATATATAATATGTATATATATATATATGTGTGTGTGTGTTGTATATAAATATATATATACGATCGCGTAAGTGAGTGTCTAGTGTATTTGACAATTGAAAAAGTTTCTATACTTTTAGCTTCAAAAATGTATGTAGGTGATATTTACTGTACATGACATGTGTTGTTCTTCATATATTCATTCACTCAGGTGATATATACTGTAAGTGACATGTGTTGTCGTTCTTATATTCACTCACTCAGGTGATATGTCTACAACGCTTCAACGCCTGTGTGATAAAAAATCAAATGAAATTGTGTTAGTCAACAAAGCACGTGAACATGTACGAATGTGCGCACCTATGTATCATGTGTATGTATATGTATATGTATAAGTATATGTATATGTATGTACATAGGTCAACACATCTCCTCATACCCGTGCATAAAGACACACAATACACCCCTCTCCACGAATACATACATATATACGCACACTCACACGAGTTGCCCATTGCTACAGGTGGATAAGAATACTGACTACTTCAACGCTGGAGTGATGGTAATCAATCTGCGGCTGTGGAAGGAGCGCAACAAAGACCGAGAGATCCTCAAATGGCTCAACCTCAATCGCAAGAGTCCTGTGTATAAGTACGGGTCACAGCCACCTCTCATGCTCACCTTCTACAAGGATTACGAGAACATGGTATGTATGTATGTATGCATGTGTATGTGTGTGTGTATGTATGGATGCATGTATGTATGTATGTATTTATATATGTATGGATGTATGTGTGTGTGTGTGTATGTATGTAAGTAGGTATGTATGTGTGTATGTATATACGTATGTATGTATGTATCTATCTGTCTTTCTATCTATCTATTTATGCGCTCCTATGCATATACATGGAAGTATCTCCTTCTGCATGCTTGTGTACGTACCTACACCCAACCTCTACACCTGCTCATGTCCAAGCGCCCTACCTCCCAGCCGATGTCTTAGTCTAAACCCTAAACCCTAAAACCCAGCCGATGTCTTGGAACTTCCGCCATTTGGGCCACAAACAAACACTCAAAGACAGCGACATCAGAAGATCGCATATCATCCACTACAACGGCCCACGCAAGCCATGGAGAGGCAACGGCATAGACCAATACAGGAAGTACTGGACCAGGTAGGGGGGGGGACTGTGGGTGAGTATGTGTATGATATAATATCCACTTGTAGTACTGTGGGTGAGTATGTGTATGATGTAATATTCACTTGTAGTACTGTGGGTGAGTATGTGTGTAATATGATAAACACTTATAGTACTATGTGCATGTATATGCACAACATAATAAACACTTGTAGTACTGTGTGAGTAGATGTATATAATACTATGTGCAATCTATATATATATATGTATATATATATATATATGTATCAGTCATTTGGCGTACAGTCTGTCTCAGTCGTACTACTCAGGCACATGCCTGTTGGTATGTGTGGTCTGACATATGGTGTGCGTATTTGCACTGGTCTTACACACGTAACGATATCACGATATGGAATGGTGGTGTGTCTATGTGTGAGAAGCGTGTGTTCAAATACACACACAGACATGAACAGAGGCACATGCGTCGACCTGTAAGTACACATACACCTGCACATGTTCATATACACGTACACAGGCACATGCACGTACACACACATATACTCAGACACATACACCTGCACATGCACATATAAACGCACACAGGCACATGTACGTACACACACATATACTCAGAAACATACACCTGTACATGTTCATATAAACATACACCTGTACATGTTCATATAAACGTACACAGGCACATACACATACACGCCTACACATGTACACATATACAAGCACATGCACATATACACACACATGCACATGCACATATACACATATACAAGCGCATGCAAATATACACACACATACACATGCACATATACAACCACATGCAAATATACACATATGTACCTGCACACAACAGGTATTGCCATCCATCGAATGAATACAAGCGCATGCACATATACACACACATACTCTTACACATACGTAACTGCACACGACAGGTATTACCATCCATCGAAAGAGACGCACGATTTGCTTGTTTGGGGCTTTGAAGAACTTCAGGATTCGTTCCTGACGTCGTCACACATATCATGCAACACCCGCCCAGCATGTATACAGGAGGCCACACGCATGGGTGTACAGGTATATATATATATTATTATATTATTATATTATATTACATTATATATATATATATGTGTGTGTGTGGGTGGGTGGGTATTTATGTTTGTATACATATATATGTGTGTGTGCCTGGGTGTGTCTGGATGTGTGTATGTATGTATGTATATATAAATGTGTGCGTGTGTGTGTATGTATATATATATATATCTTTATTTATATATATATATATATATATATACCTTTGTGGGTCGTATGCATGTATGCGTGTGTGTGTTGTGTTTTCGTGCGAGTATGCAATTGTGTTATGTGGTGATCAGATTGTGTGCACACAACGGCAGACAAACGTATTTGTGTGAGACCAATCACAACTTCAGCATTCTTATCTCAGAACCCAAAACCCTATCTTTGCCTACCTATATGTATGTGCCCTTCTATTAAGTGCGTTCACATACATATGCGTACTCAGAACCTAAAACCCTACCTTTACCTACCACATTGTCAAATGAGCGATCACATCTCACGCACCTTCTCCAGAATTTTGCCGTCTTCGCTTCACAACTCAGACACGCCCATACGTAAAGTCTCACGCACAACCCCAACTGCGCCAAATAAGCAAAGGCTTATTTTCGCACTGTTTTTCCCCATATGCTTATTCTCTCACTACTTTTCCCCACACAGTCGTCGTATGTACACTTTGATGCCTGGCCCAATAAGCCAAAGTACCTGCCCGCGCTGATGGACTTCTTTGGCAGCATGTGGGGGTTTAAGCAGGTGTGTTAGGGTTTTTATCTGTTCTGTCAGAAGTCCAGAGGTGTGTGTTTGTGTTTTCTATGTGTGTGAGAGAGAGAGAGTTTGTAATAGTCTATTGGCCTTTCTATCCGGTATATCTGTGTCTGTGTCTATGTATCTGCAATTACGTATATATATATATATATATATATATCTGCAATTGCGTATATATATATGTGTGTGTGTGTGTGTGTTTGTGTGTATGTATGAATGCGTATGTATGTATTTATGTATATGTATGTATGTATGTATGTGTATGTATGTATGTATGTATGTATGTATATATATATATATATATATATATATATATATAGTATAGTATATATATATATATATATTATTATTAGTTAGTATAGTAATGTAGTGTATAATATATTATTATATATATATATATATATATATATCACTGTACCATTAAATACGTATGTATAAATTATCTACACACTTTCTGCTCTTAATTTAAGTTAAGAACAGCCCTACAGTTCATGTGGTCTACTGCCCACTTACTGTTATTAGACCACAGGCACTGAGCATTACATCGGTGGGAGTATAGTCGTATTGCTGAGTCTAATAACGTACAATTCTAAAAATAGCACAATACCTACTTCTTAAGGGTTTAGGGTTAAGGGTTTGATACCATCGATACATAAACTAGTGCCGTACAATGCGAATGATTTGGCACGTCCCTATTTATCAACGAATGCCGGTGATACGTAAACTGTTGACGTACAATTTTATTTATAGGTCAAGTCCTTACCAACAACGAGTATCGCTGATACGTAAACTATCAGCGTAAAATCGTATTTATAGGCGCCCTAGTGCCTGGCTCGACAACTACCGGCGCTGATACGTAAACTATTAACGTATAATTATATTAATAAATTGTATGTATAGGCCAAATTCCTACTCAACAATGAGATACTTGAACGATTAACGTATAATTCTATTAATATATTCTATTCATAGGCCAAACTCCTACTCAACAATGAGATACGTGAACTGTTAACGTATAATTCTATCAATAAATTCTATTTATAGGCCAAATTCCTACTCAACAATGAGATACGTAAACTATTAACGTATAATTCTATTAATAAATTCTATTTATAGGCCAAATTCTTACTCAACAATGAGTACCGCTGGCGCTTTCTGTGGATACGCAAACAAAGCGATCTGCAGCAACGCCTCAAAGCCACCGGTTTCAATTTCAAGAAAGTCGACGGCACATCTCAGATTGTCAATTGTATGCGAATGGTCTATATTCTCTGGCTGCATCTCTATACAATACGTATTTGTATTTATATATGAAAATGTATTTGTATATGTAAATATATATTTATATGCGTATGCATATGTATATGTATATGTATATAATATATATATACGTATCTATATATATCTATATATATATATATATAATAATGTGTATATATATATATATATATATATATATTGTGTCTATTTTTGTGCCTATCATCATGTCGTTTTGTCTGTATGTGTTTCTGCATAGTGCCCCATGCCGTGATCTATATGTGTGTGGATCAATGTTCGCCCATATGCATGATCGTTGTCCTCCTCATTATTCTGCAACGTAAACGGCTACAGACACTTGTGTGTATGTACATAGCCCCTGGTATAGAGCGATCTGTGTGTGTCTATGTCTACCTACATCTACAGCCACGTAATCACACAGATACTATTACAGTCGCATACTATCACAGCCACATACTATCACAGTCACATACTATCACAGTCACATACTATCACAGTCACATACTATCACAGTCACATACTATCACAGTCACATACTATCACAGTCACATACTATCACAGCCACATACTATCACAGTCACATACTATCACAGTCACATACTATCACAGTCACATACTATCACAGTCACATACTATCGCAGCCACATACTATCACAGTCACAAGCTCGTACAGATAGTTTTGCGCGCTTTTCGCTGTGCAGACATTCCTGGGATATACGAGGAGAGCTATCACAAGGACCAGCTGTGCCGCAATTC